AGCGACATTGGCAACAAGTTGTTTAGAATGACAGCCGGTGCCTCGACTGTGCCATAACAACTGGGATCATTAGTGTACATAAACCGGTCGAGGCATCGCATCTACAGTTCTGAAAGCAATGTGACCGACTAAGAATGCCTTAATGAGAGTGGGAAATGGCAGGGACGAAAGCATCGTTTCGCCGGGGGACCATTATATGGGAATGTGCACTCGCCTCGTCCTCACCTCTTCTTGACCGCTCGACCCCCTGGCTCCAGAGGCTAACAGTGTATTTCTGGGTCCATCCTCCAGAGCACACTGCCGCTGTCTGCCGCGCTGACACAAGCCAGACACTCGGAAAGCGAATCTAATTACAGAGACAATTATGATTGTGACCCAGTTCGACCCGGATTTGTAATCAAATGGACTCATTTACCTTGAGCTTTGGAGCTCCATCTTCTGAGGAGTGAGCGTGAACCCAGAAGCTCCTCTGTCACTCAGCGTCTCTAGAACTGTACAGTCTCTTTGTTACACACTGCGCACAATTATCATCGACGTATGTGCTTATTTGTCAGCTGAATGCATCGCGGTTCTCCTTTATTAATTCCAAATGATCCAAATAGTCTAAGCAATAGGTCTCCATTAGGGTGCGGTGATAAATCAATATTACACAGTTTATCAACTGTCAGCAGAATCATATGATGTGATCTTATTATGTTGGCAATCTACCCATCTCCGTTGTTCACGTCAATGATTAAGAGCAAGCCATAACTACCAACTACCAAAATGACTTATAGAAACGAGTTGTTTAACCATGTCTTTAACCATGACATGTGTTAAAGAAACGTGTCTGCATTGGTGGGACGCGTGTCGTTTCACACGGCACAGCCGACCTTGATACCATGAGACGATCGGCTCTTGCAATCGTGAGGTAAGCGCACAAAATACAGAGTTCATATTAAAACCAGAAATGTGGGCTTGCACGTATTTGATTGGACAATGCGTTGTGTTGCGTAAAAAGTTATGCCAGGTTTAACTTTTTTGCCAGATGATTGTGCGTTTTTTTTTCCTTCTTTTTCCCAGAGCCCTCATGAGTCTGTACCCGATGCACCATGTAGTGGCCTGGGTTAGAAGGAATGAGCGTTGGCTGTGTTTTTTGCTGGCGCATATTACCAATATCTGAAATAACCTTTTTAACTATAATTAAGGATTTCGGCTACATCACCCAACCCAACACCATTCACATTCATGATTTTATGCAAACCTTTTAAATTTCAAGAAATGATGGCCGTCCAGTGAGTATTTTTTCACTTAAGATAGTCAAGATAAATAGTATGAAAACAAGTCCCCATATCTCACTCAAATGTTGATTGTGTCTTTTATTAAGTGTTATGATTCTTAATAAGATTACATCGTCAAAGCTAAATACTTTTGTTTCCCCCCTAAGCTTCTTATCTTTATTCCTAAAATACATGGATTTCACAGGACAGCTTTGAAAATAATCTTTTGGAGAATAAGCGATTCTGTGTACACCAATTAGTTAGTTATGACACAGATTAGTGAAGTTAAACCTCAGTGGCACACCCAGACAACCACAACAACTGAATTCACCAACCAGAAAAAGTTGGCAACAAGTAGACCCTCAGGAGCCCGAAGGCCCTATTCTCATGGTCTGCCAGTTGGTTTGAGGTAATCTGCACTGCTGTTCTTGTTACATTTTAAAGGCCCCACCTCAACCCGAGCATCTACCTGTAGGCTCTGAGTCTGTGTTCAGCGAGGGTGCCCAGGGGCCTCATCACTCACAGGGAGTGTGGCGTGATGAGGCTTGGAGCCTTGATGCCTATAATCAACATTGTGAACATTCTGCATTCACATAATAACCTGAGTTTTTTTCTCCTGACAACCTAATTACCATAAACAGGAGTTAAAAGGTTTGCTAAACAGGTCAGGTCTGGCCATGCAACCACAGTCATTCGGAAAACAGCGAGCTAATGGACAATGAAGTAGTTCTGGTTAATGTTCTGGCTCGAACCAGACGGCAACCTCCAGGTCGGAGAAGTGAAGCCAATGCTTAAGTGCCTTAAACTTGCATTCTTTCTAATAGCTTTCGAATAAAGTGAGGCTACTTCTTACTTGATTCATTACCTCAGTAAACATTGTAACCGTTGAGTTTTTGTTCTCAATCTCTAGGTTTAAGTATTCTTCAATTCGGCATGATGTTCATTTAGTAAATCATGGTCCTGTTTATAGTAAAACAGACCATATCGCAGGGTATGTTTTAGGGTGTGGCTACCTTGTGATTGACAAGTTGCTACCACGCCGTTGTCCGGTCTGGGAATTGTCCGTGTTTTTGTCTTTGAACTTTAACCTTTTCAGGATGTGTTTTCAGTTCATGAAAGGTCATTATAACCGTTTTGGTTGCCAAAATATGTCTTATTCATCGTTCGGTTGTACTTTGCTCAACCCTCGTGTCATTTCCGGTTGCAAAAAGACAAGATGGCAACGGCTGAAAAACCAAGATGGCGACAGCCAAAATGCACAACTCGAGGCTTCAAAACAGCAGTCCACAAACCAATGGGTGACCCTTAGCAGACTTCTTGCGCAACATTAAAACGTTGTGGAACAAGCATTGCCGAGGTGAAAGTCCTGTGTTTGTTTGACCCAACCACCAGCGCTCCCACCCTAACCCTCAGTGGACTTTTCCATTTTTTATATTTGTAACTATACTATGAAACTTTCAATGACGGTCACTCTACATACTATGTCACGAGTTCTGTGTGTCGCTCGTTGCAGAGCGTCACTTGCTCTGACTGAATGCAAAGACGTCAACATTCAACGTATATGTGGTTTGGAGAAACGTACATTGCCGTCATTTATTCCTGGCGACGAGTTCCGAGGCTCAATGAGAGTGTCTAGAGCAGACCTGCTATGGATAAATAGTCTTATTCCTCACACTTATCCTTCCACTGAGAACTCGTGCCTCTGAAGTCACCCTTGCTACTTTGCATAGCACTCAGACGTGTTCGCCGGTTCACCGCGAGTTCTGCGACAAGGTCATGCTCAGTGACACCCCCACCTCCTATCTCCTGCAGGCTGCTACAGTGTCTCACCCACAAAATCTTTGGCGGAGCTGCTTTCGGGGTTGAGTTGGGCTCCCTCTGAGGATTGCATCTCGGTTTTTCAAAAGAACTGACGCTCTTACAGTTTACTTCAGAAATTAATCTGTGCTGAAAGACAAACTAGAGCCGCAGCTCTTTTTTTATTTCTAAAGCTTAAACACCAAACAAAACAGAACAGAAAAAAAGTAACAACTAATCTGGCTCACTTTGTTGTGGGCAATGTCTTTTGGATCCTCTCTCATTTCTTCTGCTAATTGCAACATGGTAATTAGGTGTAGAGTCTAATTTACTACGGGGCTTCGTTTAACGATTTATGCATTATTCAGGGGGAGAATCCAAGGAGGAGGAGGAGGAGGATAACAATAGCACTGATGATACTTGTGGTTTTGATGATGACAGTGAGGATTGAAATGGGACTCACAATGTAGAAGAGGCAGAAAGCATTGATGATGATGATGATGATGATGGTGGTGGTGGTGGTGGTGATGATTACGGCACCGAGGCGGTGACTGTGGCTGCGGTGCTCGCGAGCCAGGAACATAAAGGAGGGTCATTGACCTCTGATTTCAGTCCTATTTCCCCTACAAGCCAAGTCCTAATAGACTCCATTAACAGAGAGGGGGGGAGAGAGGGGAGAGAAAGCCCTGACGCTGGAGCTTTGAGTAAAGTCTGCATATGTGATGACTTGCAGTCTGGCTGGCTGAATGAGGCACGCTCAGAGCCTGATAACCACCTCTTTCCTTATTATTTCCCCTCATTTAACTCACTGTGTGCCTCCATCACAGTTCATTTTCCTGTGTGTGTGTGTGTGTGTGTGTGTGTGAGAGACACACACCAGTCGGAGACATCTCTCACTCCTGCAGCACGCCTGTTATTTCACAGCAATTTTGGATAATGATTTATTTTACCATCCACAATTGGAAGGCCTTCCGCTTGAAAGGAAATGATAAAAACAGTAATCCCTTTGCAATTATGTGGCGAGAGATAGTCACGTTCATTGAGATTCACTGATAGGACGCAGGACGTTCTTCAGTGTGGCCAGCTCAGTATATCACAGGAAAATTCATATGCCTTTCAAATACACTGTCCCCACTTTAAACACTGGGATTTAAAGCTCTATTCGTGTCAAGAATAATGCCCGCGTTGAGATCAGTGCCGACGAGGCTGGGATCTATTAGGGCCTCTGTCACTTCAGTTGCCATTGGGTGGTGCATTTTTCTGACAAATTTGCATTTAATCAAATAACACAAGCCTCTACAGGCCTTTTGAGTCTGGGATCCAGACGTCAGTTAATTCAGCCTTGCTGCCAATGGTGGAAGAAGTAGTCACATTACTTCTTCCACTTTTAATTTAATTTTTAATTTATATAATTTTTTTAAAATTTATTATACTATATTGATCCCGTTAAGGGGGAAATTTGTCTCTGCATTTGACCAATCCCTGTTTTATAGGGAGCAATGACAGGCGCCCGGGGATTACTTCATTACTTCAGTAATAGTAGCAATACTGCTATATAAGAATGCTCTTATGAGTAAAGGTCTCCTGGATTCATAGAAATAAGTATTGGCAGCAACGTATCAAAAATCAAAGTCGTCCTACTGCAGAAAAACAGCCCCTCTTAGTGATATTTGATATATGACATAAGTAGATTGCTAATAGTGATTGTTGTAAGCCGCAGCTGGTGGAGCCAGTTTCACTACTTTATATGGTAAATGGATCTACTTTACTGGGTAAAGTGCTTTACAATTTTCCTCTCATTACACATACACTGATGGCGGTGGAGCCGCCATGCAAGGTGCAAGCTGGGGTTCAGTGTCTTGCTAAAAAGAAACTTCGGCATGCAAACATGCGGAGCGCGAGGACCGAACTTCCAACCTTGTGAAAAAAAGACAACACACGCCGTACAGCTAGGTAGTTCAATCCAGTGGATCACAACCAAGGGGTCACGTCTGCCCCAAAGTGAGTGAGAGACTGGATTGCATCATTTCCTGTGAATCGCTCATGTTGAAGGGAATGGCGGAGTCCGCCACTATCAATACAAAACTACTGTACAGACAGGGAATTATTGAATGCCAATACATTGAAAAAAAAATGCCGACCATAAAATGAGGTTTGAGTTCATGAAAATCTGGATTGCTACTTTGAGAAAAGGCGCAAAAGTATAGCAAAATGTACTTAGAGTATCCAAAGTCAAAGTACCATAAAACTACTGCATATTGGTCATCAAATATGACATTAGATTAATACTGCAGTATTTTACTGTTGGTGGAGCTGTATGGACAGTTCAGTAGATTAGTCCAGAGGAAGGGTCACCAGATAAATCACATACAGCTCAAATCAAATCATATCATTTTACATCTTCGGTTCCCAAACAGGTAGTTAAATCAAACCATGAAAGTTTATAGGGGAAATTACTTTTTGGTACCATGTATTTAAGGCTACTTGAATAAATGTATTTACTTTCCACCACTGGTCATCCATTAAATAGACCGTTCCAAACTGTGAAATTGCCACAGGACACAAACCCTAGACCTTATGCGCTCCCACGGGACATTAAGAGCAGATGTATGACATCTAAAAGTGATGAATTGTTCCCCATAATCCTTTGGGTTTCAGGCTGTGTTACAATATCGATGTGGGAAAGCATGTGGCGGATTTGCAGTCTGGACACATCAAAGCAAATCGTGCAATCTTAGCGCCCCATTTACGAGAAACTTCATCCACCGCGGTCCACTTCGCAAGAGGATGCTCCACTTCTATAGCCAGGATGAGAGTCCGCTGCACGGAGATTAAATGCAACATGTGCCGGTCTCCTTTAGGAGGTGAAAAACAAGAATCTGAGCCTCCATTATTTTTTTCTCCCACGTGCAAGTCAAGTGGGTAGTTTGCCGGTCGTGTTGCTCCTCAGCTTCGCATTATGCATCACAGGTAGATTTGAAGTTGGGAAATCATGTGGGGCAGCAGTTTTGAGAGATCAAGGAGCTGCAGCATTTGAGGCAAAAGCAACACTCATTGCCACTCCAAAAGCAGGGAGGTTCTCCAGAGTGAGCTTAATTACCAACTGCAGGCAAAGCTTCATTTATAAACCACAGGCCTTTTACTGAAAATCAGAGGAGCTAATAAGTTGCCTGCCCATTCTAGGTCATCAACATAAGCAGGGGGAGCGGCGAGAAAGAAGAAGGAAGTTGTTTTTTGTTTTTTTAAAATCCCATTTTCTTGTTAGTTTGTGACTTAAACTCGGCTCTTTGGTTTATCCACTGCTGTTTTGTATCATTATCTGTGTCAAGTGGAGTAATTATCTAACAAATGTATAAAAGCTGCTCTCTAATTAAATGCCATGGGCTGTGAAAGATGGAGATAAATTATTTATGCTGCTTTGATGAGAGCTAGCTAGCTCTAAGGAGTGAGCAGTCCGTCGCTTTTGGAGCCGAAATCAGCGAAACTTTTCTAGGGGGTGTTTGGGGAGGAAAAAAAAGAAAAAGTTCTGCGTGTTTGCCACTGGGATCGAGGTGAGTCAGTTTTTTCCAGTTTCTGCAAAGATGTAATTTGCTCATGGGAGGAGGATATTTTCATTCTGGTATTTACATGTCAGGAAGAGGTGAGGCCACGTAGAGAGACTGTTTAACAAGGTATTTATACTGCGCCAAGTGGAAAAACAGTACTGTTTTTAAAAGGGACAAATTCAAAATGTCAGATGTGTTGTCCCTAGTGCAAACCTCTACTGGCAAAGAAAAAACACAAAAAAAACAAAAAACAAAAAAAGATTTAACAATAATGAGGAGAATCAACTAAATGAGAAGAAGGGAGCAAGCCAAAGTCAGATAAGAATTTCTTATTCCAATAAAAAATACATTCATACAGAAATATAACAATTTTGCAAAACAATTTCAAATAAAAATTTCATAAAGCATAAACATAACAATTTTACAAATATTTTTTTTTTTTTTCCATTTTTATACAAATATTCAGTTGAGAACAAAGAGCTGTGTGTGCGTGTGAGAGAGACGGAAGATGTTGGGGTAGTGTGGGATGAAAGCATTGATGAAAGATGCGAGCAAACACTGGGCTTAATCAAGGCTCAATTACCACCAGAACAGTATTGGCTGCCGGGTTTTTTTTTTTTTTTGTTTTTTTTTTTTTAAAAATCATCCGCACAATGGACGTTCCTCTCCTTTGCCCACTAAAGATGCTGCCAGCGCTCCCAAATGTATCGTGGACAGCAGTTTTTAAGTTTGTACTCATCCCGTCTGATCTGAAATATTTAAGAATGCAACGGTGATCTCTGATCTAGAGCGGGTGGCACAGATCGCTTGAACCTGAAACAGTAGTAAATATGACCCCACAGATCCATCTCTAAGGGAAATATGGTCATGGGCTTTTTTTTCTTTTTTGGGTCAAATCTTCCATGTGCATCGTCACCCTTTGATCTCCTACTGAGAGCCCCCCCCCCATCCTGTGTTTTTCATAATACTGTTGCAGCTCGGCTAAAACAACGCTCCCCAGACAGGGTCAATAACCAACCTACACAGTCAGCAGTCTGTGACAGATTCCATGCCAACAAAGCCTTTAGCAATTCATTACCGAGAGGCAGTACAAGGCGAGGCCTGTCCGACTGCAGCCTGTTAATTACAATAAATCTTTAGAGTTTTCTTCAGTCCCACTCGCAGGGATGTGTGAGTGTGTGTGTGTGTGTGTGTGTGGGGGGGGGGGGGGGCATGAGAGGAGACAATGGTGTTGGAGGGACAGCAGCCCTGTATGAAGAGTCTAGTTTGTTCGTACTTCGGAGCAGAGTGTGATGGACTCAAGTACATACTACACAGTAGCACGTGCAATGACAACGCCTTTAATAAGTGAAGTTAAGTGCTCTAAACATACAGCGTTCGTCTGATTCACATGTTCCGACTGAATTCAATGTGATGTCTGCAAACTGAACTGGTGCTGACTCAAAGACGACTGCGAAAAAGGTGCTTCCCCCCCCCCCAAAAAAAAAACAAAACATCACCATCAACCGACAGGATAGATTGCGGACACCGGCCACTAAACACAAAGAGGTGCGACTTAACGTGGAACTGAGCCTTGATCAAGCTTTTCAAATCACCCATACGACAAATGTGACTTCCCCTGGGAGGGAAAAAACAACCCACTGCTGCAACAGGGTTGAGTCACTTGCATAAGGCACCATTAAGGTCAACAGTGCATTATTAGATAGAAAAGAAAGTACAAAAAAAAAAAAATCAAAGTTACTCCTCAAGGCATAGGATGAGTGAGAAAATGAGGAAGCAGTGGGTGAAATCTCCAGCCAGATGAAAAGAACTGAATGAAACGGGTGAGGTTGTGAAGAAAAAAAAGAGAAGAGGAAATCATCAAGGCTTTATGTACAATATATTGTAACATTTAACCGTCCGCACTTTAGCTGCACTTTTCTTGAAACTATTTGCAGTCCTGATTACAGTGGAAACATGAAATGAACAAACCCTAGAACCATGCAACACCTGTCTATGATACTGACGTTATAGTATAGTTGTGTTATACCTCTAAGCACACAGCTTATACAATTGGACTACAAATGAGCTTCGTAGCTTGTAAAAAAAAGAAACCAGGCTACATAACACATTGCACATTTAGTAGCTGCACCAAAAAACACCAAAAAAAAGCTTCTGTCATACAGTGACCAAGGAGGAGGGGGCTTGTGGTCTCTGGGTCACTGACCAGAAGGGGGACAGGTCCACCTTCTCTCGGGTCAAACCCAAGGCCTCAAAAAGCTCCAGAGAACCCCCCTCTCCGCCCCAAACCCCCCCCCCATACAGTCTGGGTGCCAGACAAGACAGGCAGGAACCTCCACCCTGCCCCGTCCTCACGCTGCCACCGGGGAAACACCAATGGAATGTTTCCCCCCAGAAACCCATTCAGTCCACAGCAACATTGGTACCAGCCCCGCACCGTCCATCCATCCATCCATCCATCCATCAACCCCATCTCGCCTCCTGTCCTCCCAAGGGAGTGGGGGGGGGGGGGGGGGGGGCCGGTCAGCCAATCTCAGACATTCACAGTGCACACATGCTTACCTCAGACAGTTTTTGTAAAGTACCAGTGTATCTGCTGTCCGGGAATGTCCCCACCCCCCTCCCCCCAAAACATCATGCACCATACATACAAATCATTCTCACTCTTTGTTTGGTTTTTTTTTGTCTTTTTTTTGTTTTTTTATGTGTCTGAGTTGTACGTCCTTCTCAAGCAAAAAGGTTTCTTCCCCCCCCCCACCCCCCGTCGTCCGTGATTTTGTCCTTTTTTGTTTTTAAGTCGCAACAGACAACCTTCAGAGCGCCCTTTCTCCAAAGACAGGTCCCGGAGGCACTGGGTTTCAGTATGGTGCAAAACGGCATGCTTTGGCTGGAACACACTCCCCGCCACTCTGCCCTGGGACAGTTCAACCAAGAGACTGGTCGGGAGACGGCGTTTTTTTTGTTTTTTTCCTCCCTCTCTCTCTCTCGCTCTCTTTCTCTCTCCTTTTTACAACAACTTTTCACCCCCGTCGCTGTTGGTTGGAGCTCGACCCGCTCTAGACGTGCCTCTTCATGTGAAGGGCAAGATGGTCAGACCTGGAGAAACATCTGAGGAGAAGAGAGAGGGGGAAGTCAGTGACAACGCAAAGATGGACCGCAGGGGAGCGAGACGCGTTTGCAGGGAATGAAAGTAACAAGCTTTGTGCGACAGCGCTTCTTCTGAAGGTAAGAACTTGAGAGCGATCAGTCCAAAAGATTACGGGCTTCGTATAATGTCATGCGAGGTAATAACTGAACCATCACATTCCACTGAGAAAAAGGCTGATTAACTCCAAATGACCTCCTGATTGATCTTTAGTACATTTGTTTTTAGCTACCTGAATCAAATCCATCAGTGCATCCCATCATTAAAAGGACATGCATCATTATCTGTATGATGCAAGTAAAAAAATAAAAGTAGAGCACATCTACAGTAACGGGTGTCATGCCTGCACGCTTCGGTTTGCGTGGATGTAGGAGCAGCCTTACCTGTCACAGTGACTGCATTTGAATGGCTTAGCCCCGGTGTGCTTTCTGAAGTGTCTGGTCAACTCGTCGCTTCGTGCAAACCGCCACACGCAGCCCTCCCACGAACACCTGTACGGTTTCTCACCTGCAGAAGCAACAAGGAGGGGGTGATTAGTCCAAAAAACGCACGCACACACACACACACACACAGTTTTCCTACTGAGGCTGAAATTGGATTTGTCATTCAAATGCATTCAGATCAATCACCCCTGTGTGTGGGGTGGGGGGTTATGGGGGGCAGGCCAGATGACACAAGTCACTGACAAATCACTCAAGATTCCACCGAACCTGTTGGATCAGCTGCCGTGTTCACATGCAACCTGGACACCTGCTTAGAATGCTAAGAGCGATGCTGTGATGGGTCCTACATCAAAAAGATAAAAAAAGAAAAAAGAAAAAGAAAAAAGCCGCACGTGCAATTTCACGCCGCTAATCAAAAATAAAGAGACGCTCAAATGACCACTCGACGCCCTTCCAACTCCGTGGCCCCTGGCTCCCCGCCCATTCACCCCTTTCCCATGGTGAAACTCAATCTGCTTTCAAGTCCTTTTATCTCCCATGTGCAACCCCCCCACCCCCCTTGCTCCCTCCCTCCCTCCCTCCCTCCCTCCCTCACATTCCAGATAGATTAGGTCACAGTTTAGGTATCCAGCCATGCAGAGCTAATACCCACAGCGCTCCAGCTGAGGACATCATGCAATGTGGACCTTTAATTACATTACACAATGGTTGGGTGACTGAATTAAGAGCACTTCCGCTCTTTCACACCGTAATAAGTGAGGTTTTCTTTAACTCTATGAATGCGTTGCTTTTGCTTGAGCTCAGCAGAGAAGACTCTTTCTGTTTACACACATCACACGTGGGTCTGACGGGTGCTTTGGAAAAACTCACCCGTATGAGTGCGCTGGTGTGCTTTTAGGTGGGAGCTCTTCGTGTAAACCTTGCGACACCCGTTGAACTGACACCTGTGTACCCGCCTCCTGCCGTCCGGGGACGCTTCCCCGCACATGAGTCCCGTCTTTTCCGCGCCCTTCGCTGCCCCGCCGCTCCGGATTTTGACCGGCAAGTGCAACTCGGCGGCGACCCAGCCGCCGGTCACGCCGCCGGCCTCCGAGGTGGCCTCCGGAGAGGATGGGGGTGTGCTTATGACGGAGGGGCTAAAAGGTCCAGAGCCGACCAGGACGGAGCCCAGGGGGTTGGAGGTAAAGCTGTGCGTGGGCGAGAGCTCCTCAGAACTGTCCGACGCTTCGCTGCTGGCATCCGAATTCACGCTGTTGGTGTCCAAGATTTGGCTGTCCTGATTGTCCTCCTCGTGGGCCGCGGGCAGCTTGGGGTCGGCCTTGGCCTTGTCCTTGTCCCCGCAGGCCAAGATCAACTTGCTCCAGAGGTCCCCCTGGCTGTCGAACTTGAGTTCGGACGTGGAGACGTAGGGCTCGCTCTGCAGATAGCGCTCCAACTCCAAGCATGTCTGGTGGTACGAGAGAGAAAACAGTCAGAATAAGTCAACTACAACTGCAGCACTGAGAGAAAGAGAGAGAGAGAGAGAGGGGGAGGAGGTTCCTTCAGAACCAGCAAAAAAGCTTCAGTGTGGGAAATCCTTTTAAATGAGTCATGTGCACATACACACACCCCCCTGAAAAAATAAATAAATAAAGCCTTTTGCGTTGTAACGTTCGTAGCAGGATACATTAACCAGGAAACGGTAGCTACACTGCACATTTCAGGCTCGTGGCTGTGACGACAACACAGCTGTGACGAGGCATGGATCGAAAGGAATTTAATCGATTTATCAAGAACAATGCCAAATATGTGTTGGTTCCAGCTGCTCAAATGCAAGAACCTGCTGCATGTGTGCATCGTACACACACACACACACACACACACACACACGACTGTACACCAATATTTGGGATTTGGGTGAAAAAGCAACATCCCAACACACAAAACCAGCCTTCCTGCTTCACGTCATGTCCTTGAATCCCCGCCCCCCCCTCCTGAACTCTGCTGCACCTGAACCCAACACTTAAAAACGTGCATTGTCATTTCAGCACTCCAATGACTCACTCAACAAATCTAGAGTCCTTTTAAGGAAGCCGCTCAACTCTCCCCCTCCCTCCTCCCCTCCGACATGAGCCATTCAGATGTTTTTTACTCATGCGAAACCTCTGCCATGCAATCACACATCCTGTCTGACGGCCACAAAAAAAAGAGAAAAAGACACTCCGCTTCACAATTGGGTGAAGAGGACTTTTAAGTTGACAAAAAAAAGAAGCGAGCAAGGGCCGTTCATTAGAGGCTGCTCCAGAGACAGCAGGTTTGACTGGGCAGATGTTGAAGACATACTCCCTCCAGGCTTCTGCAGCCTGACACTGTACTCTCCAGCTGTGCTAGTGCCTCGAGCAGGACTTTGGCCATGGCTGACATTGATACAGTGTCATGTTGTGGAGCTCGTTCAAATAAGAGGACGATGCAAATGGATGATTTAAACCAATGTGACAACAAAAAGGAAAATAAATGTAGAATAAGGGTGAGGATGTCGTTTAAAATCATTATGGGGCTGAAACACTGAATCCCATTTTTAAAGTTTATAACGCAGTTTTCAAACAGTGCCAAAACTGACGAAATCAAAGAAAAAAAAGGAAGATACATTTTTTTTTTTTTGAAAATGACAGAGCTGATCCTGAGCCAACGCGCTACTTCTGATTTGGAATCAACTGCTGACTGATTTGAAATTCTACTTCCTCCTCCCACCGCGGCTGCAGCGTTAGCGGTGACACCAGCTCACATGCCCTGAGACAACCCGCTGTGAGGAAACGAAGAAGTCATGCTCAAAATATAGAAGAGCGTGTCAAAATAAAAAAAATACCCCAAAAAAATAAAGAAGCACCAAGCACGCCGCTGTTGCGCTGTCCCCACTCATCTTGGCGCAGCACAGCCTCGACTCCAGCTGTCAGACTGACACACTGATCCACTTCAGGCTGCCAGAAAACTTCATAACGACGCTGGACCGTGAGAAAAAAAAAACAGCACGTCTAAGCCGCCTAAGCACCGGGGCGCCTTGTGTGTTTACAGCCGTTACGATGTGGGGATGAGGAGCTGAACTTCTCGAGCGCACTAAACGCCGCGGTGTAATCTAGCAAAGCAAACGTCTCTCCGTTCCGCTTTTCCACACAAGCTCAAACAGCGACCGTAAGAAGAAAACAGTTGATGTGTATATGTATATTCACCTGCTGCCAGTACTCCTCCAGTGACGGTAAGGCTGAGAAATAGCCCGTGTCGTGAACTATTTGAAGTTCCTGAAAGATGCTGCACATGGGTAGAACATCCATATTTTTTTTTTCCAGAGCTTAGTTAAAACAAAAAAAAAACAATGCAATATAGCTGCAGTTAAATGTGTTTTTCAGGTAGAAGGAGAAAAAAAATTAGACCCAGTAGAAGGAATAACAGCGGTCCCCTGCGATGCAAACGAAGAGGCGCTTGTTTTCAGCAGCAGTGTAGCAGCCGATCGTCCGTCGGTTTTCCCCCCCTTCGTCTCTCTCTGACGTTCAAGGTGTTTGCAAACACTGCGCCGGACTGGATGGTGAACAACTGCGCTCTGCAAACTTCCCTATTCAAACCCCCCCGAAGCCCGCCCCCTTCACCCCCCTTCCCCTTCCCCTCCCCCTCCCGCCCGCCCCTACTCCACGGCAGGATTACGCCTGCGAGGGTTGTCAGCCAATCAGCGGCGCGCAGCGTAAAGGCTCGCAAATGATATCACGGTCGGCCAATCGCGGCCGGCCTCCGAGTTAATTTGGTTTTCTCTGCGTTTTAATTGGCCCGTTTGACTCCCAGCCTCTCGCCGCCGATTGGCTGGTTATTTTTAGGCATGTATATAAAGCTCTCTCTCCCAGAGTAGTCCTTCTCTGTCTGCGACGTGTTTCGCCACAGACAGCGCATGTGAGCCGGACGGGTTTCGCTCCCGTTCAGTGGAAAACATCTGTCTCTCTCCCACTCGCTCTCCGTGTAACTTTGTCACAAGTAGTACTTGCAACACTGCTGTTTAAGGAGATGGGTTCACCCAGGCTGTAATGGTGGCGCAGTGCATGTGTTGACATCAGGCCACTGAGAGTGAACACATGTCTTGGGACACAAAGTGGTGACTAATGGATGGCAGTGCACTTATTGTGTTATCGGCTCACGCACGAGCTTACAGGAAGCGTTCGTCCTCACTTCTCCTCTGCCACTGAATCAATACACAACGAGAGACTTCTGCTTTAAAAAACACTGAGAAGTTGCTCTCCGTCATTAGTTTGAAAAGCTTTTATCATCTAATTTGCACTTAAAAAGAGAGAGCGGCGGAATGAATGTTCGAAGTGGTTCCCTAAAGTTAAAGAATTTGTTTTACCTTTGCTTAGTTATTACAGTACATGGAAGAAACACTCAGTTACCCCCCCAACCCACACACACATTTTTTTGAGATCAGAGTAACCACATGTGCTGTTTAGCAGCAGTTTCACCCAATGCGTTGTCATAATAAACCAACTTGTGACCCAGCAGTAGTGTTGATATGGTTGATATGAGCTTTAAAAGTGATGTTTCCTTCTCAAATTGATTTCCATACTTCCGAGCACAAGATCACACATTTCTGATTCTATACACTGCAACGTTTCTGTTTTCTTACAATGTTTATATCGATTTGTGTTTTAACATACAAAAAGATTATCATCATTATCATCATTTAGTCGATCAGTTTGACATTTAGTACTTCTGCTTCTTCTCAAACCGTTCTATATTATTTAGCTTGCGGGCCTTGTGAACACAGTATTTACTCCATCCTTTGATATTTAGATTCTTGATTTCTCATTCTGTAACTTATCTGACCATGCACCCATTTTTATCTAATGCTAATTTGGGGTTTAAACCAGTTTATAGATATTGTTCGAGTAGCGTTAGTACAGGCGATTTTCTACCGAAAATACATGCGTAATGCGTTGTATATGTAGTTTGTATTTTTAGAGATTAAAGTATCCACTATTTCACAACAACAATACAAAAATAAAGAAAAGTCAGATATAAACAGTTATGTGTCCTTTAGGGAAGGTCTGGACACAGAAGTTTGGAACCACGAGGTTATGAAATGAAAACATACATAAAGCTGGTGAATTTTTGTGTCCAAAGTGGTTAAAGTTGGAATTTGAGTCTTTGACATTCATCACAGAAGTAAACACGGAAACAAAATGACAGTAGAGCTAAATTAGCACTTCCATAATTCCACTATTGTCTGGCGAAACCAGCTGCATTCCCTCATGAATCACTCTTCATTCCGGTCACATTCCACCATTTGGCAACGACGTTACGTCATCCCGACTTATTCTTATCATTTCCTCCTTGCAGAAAGAAGCGTGCCACAGAAGTCGTCTCTTCCTGCAGCTATTCCATAAGTTCTCACACACACAAACACACACACACACACAGCAGTCGGTCGCACCACGACGCGGCACGGCATCGCACAATGAGACAAACGACGTCTCCACACAGGAGACACATTGTCTTCCAAGCGGCAGTATTTTCTGCATGCCTTGCCGAGTAGACAACTGAGCGTCCTTTGTGCCGCTCTCAGCTGTGAGGCCGTATTTGTCACCCAGAGCATCTGATTTAGTCATATGACGATGGGACGCCTTGGGAAGCCTGGAGCAGGCCTCAGTAGCCCTACAAAGGAATCCGCCTTTGCTTTTATGTTCCTAATGGGGCTATTCATTATGTCCCCCCCCCTCCCCTCCCCCTCAGGGCCGAGTGGACGCTTTACTTTGAAGAGTCAAAATTTACTGTCCATTTCCAAGCGCTGCTAAAAAACTTCTTTTGTCACCTCACGTGACGTCAGAGAGTGCGCGGCTCGTCATTGCGCGATAAACACAGCCACTCATTATTCATGCGTTTCCACGGCTTACACTGTCCGCGTTTGATGAATAACAGAGTACACCGTCGGGTCCCGCTGGAGCATTAGTGGGCAGCTCTTCGGTAACCACTTCCTTCAGAAGGCTTCTGAGACGGGAGCATTTAGAGAATGCGCGGGGTCCTGCGCGGCAGCTTTTATCTCGGAGGGCCAGGTCCGCAGCTTTATCATCGTTATGTAATCCCGGCCCAGCCAGTAGCCACGGGAAGGAGCAATTCCAGGATGACCCATTTTAATGCATCACTGTCAGCTCAATTAGTGAGTTGTTCCAAGGGGTTTTTCTGGATGACCTGGGAGCGCTGGAGACCCACTCTTGTATGGTTTTCTATAATGCGTATCGGGAGTAGACTATGGCCGCTCCCCAGCGTAATGTTCATCGTCCTCCTTGGACCTTATGCGGAAGCTTGAACTGGAATGATTAGCAGACTTCGTTTTTTAGAATTTTTAGAATTTTTAGAATTTTTAGAATTTTTTAGAATTTTTAGAATAGAATCACTATTTTGATAATCAGTTAATAATTTGGGTTTAAAATGTGTAATGCTACACATTTGACAGGTCTTGTTGCTTTTATTTATCTCACATGACGGTGAAGTGAATATCTTTGGGTTTTGGACTGCTGGTCTAGCAAACTGAAGACATCACCTTGGAAACCTGGGAAATAATGAACATTGTTCACTCTTTCTGACAGAACAAAGACTAATCAAATTGAGAAAATATTCACTCTCTTCAAACATACTAGGACTCTATATTTTCTCCGGTCTTGCTTCAACAGAAGGCCGTAACATTTCAGGACTATGACTGGACAGATGTTAGCAGATGTTATGTGAAGGGAACCAATTTGGACACAGCAAGGGGAAGGCCAGCAATGTATTAATTCATTAGCATTTCACTCTCGTAACATTAAGGTTCTTGTAAGAGGCAGATTTGAATAAAAGAGAAAAATAAGAATCTGAGTGATCTTTTTTAATTGTATAAGTCATCCTCTGAAAACGCTGAATTTGAAATTTTCCATTATGCAACTCCCTTTAAGCCCTCACCGCCATTCTTCTGTCAAACGCCACACCTCCAGTTTGCAATACAGAGGCCCAAAGTTAAAATGACCCTGATGAGTTTTGATCAAATATCATTAGAAAAAAAAAAAATAATCACATAATAGAACTGATGGTACATAACAAGAGAGCACACAACATGTTCATTTATTTCATTTGTTTGTCAGTGTCATAGAAATGGAGCAGAGACAGATTTATGGCCCAACAATGTTCAAGCGGACATGACGGACTCAGAAATAAACGTCGCCTCATTATTTCCCTGCTCACCATCAGAGGGCCAGTTAGTAATGAGGCACAGCACTATTGATAGAGATGCAACGCTCTCCACGGGTGCCGCTGAAAATTTGTCCAAGCTTAAATAAAATGAGAATAAAAATAATTGATTGGAAATCAATGCACATACATCATTCACTCTTTTGTTAAAAGGAGAAATGGATGGGAAGCGCGAAGAGGGGGGGGGGGGGAGAGCTCCTGGAAAATCAATATTCATTCCAATCATAAATCAGAATTGAGTCAGCGCTCACGGAGAGGGGAGATAATCATTGGCCTGGTTTTGGATTACATACTCCACGGGGCCGAGGCTTGTCCAGCCTGCAGATGTGTTTAGCTTTGTTACAAGCCCCCACTCGCTACACAACTTGTCCCCTCCCCCCCCCAACACACACACACAAACATAAATGGTGAGATCCCCTCATTGAAATGCATTGATGGTTTAGTGCAACGTCGGCCTTATGTGCCGCTGTCAGGCCACGTCTGGGGACAGATCAACATGTGTGCACAATGGGTCGCGCGGTGTCAGCTCCATCAGGCCGTCAACGAGGAGCCTCTGCCTCCCACCAGCTCTTGACCTTGAGGACGAAGAGTGGGCCCTGTGTGTGTGTGTTTTGGCTACGTGTGTCTGAGCGGACATGCATGGGACACAGCAATCAGTCAGGGCGCTGTCGTGATGGAGGTTTGTGAATTGGTTTGTGCGCCTGCATTCAGAACAGACCGATATATCAGTTTGCGGATATATTGGGGTGGAAATCAATATTGTCTACCTCTGGTATGATGGAGGTTTCTTCCCTGATCACCGCTCCACACACGCACACGCACACACACGCAGTGAGAAACCTGCGATAAAATGCATCTTCTGTGGTTCAGGTAGACAAGGCCGGCTATTTACCCTTAAAGAATGTCATTATTAGTTTGTGTTTGTTTATTAATAGGGGACTCGGGACAGTTCATGTTAATCCCATATTAATCAACACTGACCTTTTTGAATGCATCAATTTGAATATGCTGAGGTTAGCATATTAAACACCAGGAAGCCATCAAATGATTGGAAAGCTAGTAGAACATACTGAAAACTTCAGCTTCATAGGATTTTAAACACATATAGTGGCTTTAAACTGTCAAAAATGCAATGAAACAATAATGAAATCAAAGCAAATTTGGGATTTAGAATGAAATTACCATGGAAACGCTCTTTGTTCTGCTGTCTACTGTTTTTACAAAAAGTGTAAATGAGCAATGTCAGTCTGGAAGCATTCAAAATGCACTGTAATGCACTTTAAGTGTGTGTAACCATGTGTGCGCTGGTGGTGTTTTGACAACAGTGAATCAC